GTTTGATCTTGGAATTAATGTGCATTTTAGCAATTAACTGTTTTGTGCTTACAGTAGGCTTTTCGAAGTTTGAAGTTCATTTTCAATGAGATTTTTAGAAAATCCGCTTACTTTCTGTACTTCGAATCCCAATTCCACGCCATTCAATCCAAATTACGTTTAGTGTATTGGTCTGAATGCGCGGAATCCATAGTTCAGTCACGTCAAGTATAATAACCGGAAAAAGTTGATTAGAGTAATTGTACGGGGGCGAGGGCGGCCAAGTTCGCTGCTCTTATTCCCGCAAAAAACTTGCACCCTGGCGGTAATGGATTAGGTTAGGAGAATAGATTTCGGCATTGATAAGTTTGAGGGCGGGTTACTGTAGCATGGCTAGGTGAATGGTTTCCGGGTTCGAGACGTCCTGGCACCGAGCAGAACTTTATATACCTGAAAAATTACCGAAAATACCTCTAAAACCTCAGGGCATAAGTATAAAATATCGTTGCTATCTAAATCAATAAAAAAATTGTAAATAAGCAAAATAAGGTTACAGCGTGCATTAGCCCATCATGAAATTACGTTTTATACGCTATTTGCGCTTGTTCAAAACATAGCAAAATTTCCTGATTTGCATATGACGATTTACAAGCCACACTTCTGCTTTCGCCTTTGATTTTGTATAGATTATTTGCGCCTTTCAAAAATATAAAAGCGCCTTTCCTGCTGTTTTACACATTGAAATTTATAAGTCTCATTTCGAATTTTATCGCGCCCACGCTAATATTTAAATATTTTTAATATTTAAAATATCCAAAATACTTTTATTTTTCCACCAACCCCTTTTCAACCGTCTTCCTTCCACCCAATTTATCTCTTTATTTCGGCTACGGCTTCTTCTCCCATCCAAACCGTCTCTTCACCCCACCCGAAAAACAAAAGCTAAATTTCTTCGAGCGAAACCCCGCAGCTAGTGAAAATCGCGGAGGCCCGCGCCTGCGAGAAGGCATTTTCAGCGAAAACTAAAGTGCACGCGCTGGGGTGGCCGGTTGGTTGAGGCGAAGCCAGGCAAAGGCAAAGCTTGGGCCCTTGAATCGAACAAACAATTCGGAAATATTGATAGTGATTCGGAAGCCATTGCTGTTCTTTTGAGGGGGAGAGCTGAAATGGGGGGAGATTGAGACGAAAGCAACCAGATTAAATCTGGGTTCTACGGTTCTAAAGGTGGCTGGCTCGCCCCATTGATCAGAAAACTGGGAATTGGAAAGCAAAAGGTGCTTAAAGTTTTGATTTACAAAAAAATCGAACAATTGCTAGACATTATTCAACAGCTAGAAAAACTCAAGGTAAAATAATGCAGCTTTGAATTCTTTACACTTCTTTTTGAATGCGCTAAAATGCAAATTAGCTTTAAAAACAAAAATTACTTTCCCGTCTTGCTGCTGCTACAAACTACAAAATCGGGGATCTACCGTTGCCTTCCCGATACCTTTGAAACCTAAAATTTTGGTAAAAAATTAGAATAGACTTAGATCACCTTGATATGCTTAAACAGCATTTTAGTCTTTGCAGCTTTGGCTGAATGCCGATTGTACATAATACCGATTTACGGAATGCCGATTTACACATACCGATTCTCATACTGCGGATTTGCAGAATGCCAATCCTTATCCTGCCAATTCTCATGTAAATCGGCATTATCAGGACCGGAATTATGACCTTATACCATTTTAGCCTACCTTGTCTCCTTTCAAAAACGCCCTCAACCGCACCGAAACAAATAAACACCGTACTTTTTTTTAACAAATAAACCCGCTTCCCGTTGGAAGTTCACGCCAAGCTCCCCAATTTCCACACCTGCACGTGCCATCCCATCATCTTTGCTAGCGCTAAAAAGGGAAAAGCCACCAAATTAAGGTGTGGCTCGAATGGGAATGGGGGAGGAAGAGAGGGTAGTTTTGGAAGGGAGTGGTGCTGATGAACTTCTCTCAGCAATTAGCAATGCTTTTCCTGGCAATGCCAGCAGGGAGGACGAGCAAGAGTTTTTAGCAGGAGAACGAGTGGTCGGGGACGATGAGGTGTTAAAATGAGTCAAGTCAATACAGTCCATGCTCTGTGCAGTGAGGGTGAGCCGTAGGGAGCCGATGGTCGAAAAGGAGAACCAGGGGGACCGGTTAGAGTATAAAAAATTAAATTTAAATAGATTCTAAATAAATTAGGACGAAATTATTATTTATAGGTCTATAGAGGTAGATATAAATTTAACTAGAGTTTAGTAAATTTAATTTTTTGAAGTTTAACCGAAAACCACTGCAAAATTCATAGTCTTGGCTTACCAGTCCCTTCACTCCAAAAATACCCAATTTTTTTTGTAGCCCGTAGCTTGTCTCCAGCCGAACCCAATAAGTTCCAGTTCTTTCCAGATCTTCCATCCCCCACGGTTTTGCATCGTTCTCCCTTCTTCCAGGCCGCCCCGATTCCCAGATCCCAACCCCAAAAAATTTGAATCCCAATTTTTCCACGAGCCATTTTTGTGTAGGTTCCTCGGACCTAGAAATCGGTTCCCAGCCCCTGCCCGAACGCGTTTGTAGTCATCTTTTTAGGGATAAGCCCTGGTGGATAAGCCTCGGATCAGGGTCAATGATTTTCGATGAATTCCTTTAGACGTAAGAAGTTCAGGGCTGGAAATGTGGGTGGCACGTTTTGTTTAAAGGGGTTAAGATGTCAAAAATTCGCGTGAACAGGGATCGAATCGTCGACTCAAAAAATTGAAAGGTCACCTACGAGTATACTAAATTTACTTCGTTGCGAAAAAGCACAAAATATTTAAGAGAAATGCAATGTTTATCTCATTTTAAAGCGTGTTTGTGGACATTTTGGACGGTGTTACATGTCGTAATGCCCTGTAAAGCACGCAATTTGGCGATCTCGGGAATACCGGGGTCAATGTTTCTAACTCTGATTTTTTAGAACAGCTCGACTGGTCGAAATCGCTTCACAATTCCAGGAATTTCGTCAGAATTTTAAAATTCAGGCGTTTCACGTCGAAACCAGTACACAAGAGCGTGCGTCGCGGACGCGTTTCGGCAGCATTTTACCATTTGCCAGGAAACAACGCCGTGATGTGGAAGACTTCTGTGTCCCTATGAGACCCATCTTCCCTACCGTAACCGCCATCCAATTTGTATTGTCTGGTTCAAAAACCAAAAAAATATAAAAGCCGCCAAAGCTTGGCTCGCTAATCGAGGGTTACCCGAAATGCCCCCAGGGCATTCAGATTGGGTTGGACTTTCGGGGAATCGTCTGCAATAATTGGGTCCGAAAAGTATTTTTTGTGTACCCCAAGAGAATTCGGGCGTCTCTGTTAAAAGTGGGTTTTGTGTTTAGGGGAAATTGGGGAAGATTTTCGATACGTATTTTTGGTGAAAATATATTTAAAATTGCTCTAGAAAATCATTAAACGCAACTTACAAGCCCAGACACATGATACAGTACTACTAGATACTGTAGACATATTATGATGTGACTCAACATACCCAGAACTACTTATTGTCATTTATTTTGCCGCGGAGCTCCCAATTTTCAGCGAGGGTAAGCGGCTCAATGTACCGCCTCGTATTTTTCGTACTCTCAAAATTATTAGTTCTCTGAATACGAGCGCGGATTAATGTTCGGAACATCCTATGCCACCCGGCAAAAAATATGTGCGATTCACTAATGTTTAAAATTCATCGAAAAAGTTGTATAGAAAGCCCTAGTCAAATTGGTAATTAAAAACCAACCTTTACATTTGAACGTTTAGAGCTTTTGCGGCTTCACTAGGAAAAAGTGGCTAGCTACACCATGGGTCGTAAGCTTAATTAAGTTTATATGGCTTCCAGGTAAAATGGCAAGCTTTAGTGCTTTTTAGCGAAGACTTCATGACTATATCAGAAAATTTCCAAATTGCACTCAATACCAAACAAATATTTCGAAATCTCATGGCCCCCCTGCTCATCGGCTTAAAAAAACCCGGTGGTCTCGAGAATGGGATTTCTGACTCGTTGTTTTTGTATTAGAAGATCTAGGCTGGCCGGATTTTTAGCTTGTAGTGCAGTAACGGGAGGGGTTTACATTCTGCCTTCAGTGGTCCTTTAAAACGGCAGGAAGCCTTCTCACTAAAATCTTGTAAATAAGGAAAAATTGTTTATGATTTGTGATAAAATACGAGAGATGATTATTTATTCACATTTTTATTAGTAGGCATTACTGTGCTTTGCTTACAAATAACCGGATGATCCGGCCCGGAATTTTGGTGTCTGGTGGACCAGGATATTGGACAAATGGTGAGTAAAAGGCTTTGGATCTACACTTTTTATGCCAATTTTTGAAAGCTCATAGTAATCCATGCAAATCTTCGAGGTTTAAAAGAAGGATTATTGATTTACCGATGATTTCATACAGTTTTTGATAATCACTTTTTTTGTAGTTGATAATCACTTTTTTGTACATAATGTAGGTTTTTAACTTTTAAATTTTTTGTTGTTAAAACCAAACTCAGTAATTTACATATTCGAGAAAAATATAGCTACGGAGTTGCTTGGAAATATAGTTAGCATTATTATTTTTAGACTATTTTTAGACACAGATAAAATCATATTGATTTGATTGTGTATTGTATTTTTGTGTATTTTTAACTTAGTACAATTAGCATAAATCTATCATCTTTATTAAATGGTTTTCAGTGAGATCGACGTGGGGGGTGATTGGCGACCGGTAAATGTATGTGTATGGGGAATATTGAGCACCCGTAATTCGGTATAGCATACGAGATTTTGAATGAATGAAATCAGATTGGGGTAAAGGTAAATAGGGGTAAGAACGTGGAACTAACAAAACACAGGGTTTGGTCAAAAAATGCTAATCACAGGTTGTGGTTCCGGGGGCAGAGAGGAAGGAAGGGGAGGAAAAACAGCGGGCTTGAAGCCAAATGAAGGGTAACAAGGGTGTAATCATGAAAAAATTGGGAAATGTTAGTGTTAGAGTTTTTGCACAAAATGTGTGGAGATTGTGGCGAGCATATTTAGTGCTTGGAAGGTCTGGGGTTTGATGTGGGACACGCCGCTGCTTGTTGTCTCCTTCCGGTGGGCCCATTTCTTCAGCGATTTGCGTAGATGGAAATGGGTGGATTTCGGCGGCGTGGGGGTTGGGGCTTCTTTTTTCAATTCTGAAAATAGAGGTGGTTGGTGGGGTTTCGTTGTATTTTCGGAATAGGTCATATTTGGGGGTTTCTTTTTGGTGAGGGGGGATTGGTGGATAAATTTAATGTTAGGGAAATACAGTATTTAGCCTGAATTGATGAATATTCGTTTCATATCTTGGAATTGAATTTAAAAAGCTCTAAAAGCCAAAGCCGAAGCCTAATTTAAGCCTAAGCCTAAATCGAAACCTAAGCCTAAGCCTAAGCAGAAACCTGAGTTTAGCCTAAATCCAAGCCTAAGCCTAACCTAATATGTATAAACTTTTCCCTTGATTTAATGAATGATATACTCACCAATACTGGCTTGCGATGATTGCGTCGACAAACTCGCATGATGTCTCAGCGCTTCCGGTACCCATTTCAACGAATACCGCTCAAAAACCGGCCGCGACGGCTTCGAGTGCAACAGCTCGATCTCCTCCGGAATCGGGAAGTCTGGGATCATCTTCAAAGAGTTCGGCGGGGAGCGGCAAAGAAGTGTAAATTAAGAAACCGCAAGGGGTACTGTAGGCTGGCTGTGGTTTGGAATGCTAGGATCGGTTGATCTGGCCCACCCTCACCTGTGGGTACCTTATATAGGTGGGTCGGGGAATCTGGGGCTTAGGCGAATGGGGGGCGGGGCCACTGAGGCCCACTGAGGGCCCAAGAACACAGAAGCCCTCCCTGGGGGCCCATGCCTAGTTGGCCCGCCTCTATGTTACCTTGATGGTTCATTGGTATAAGGACAATTAAGAGAAGCTGAAGACGCCCCCACCTTTCGAAGTATTTAGGGATTCCCGAATCCGGAGGTTGAATAACCAAATTAAGGATGGGCGGGGGGGGGTAAACAAAACAAAAGGTAAGGAAAACAAAGCGGTGCGGTAGGTCTGGGGTGGAGTGTAGGTCCTGTCACGCCCCCTTTAAAGATGCTAGATTCAAATTTAAATACTTAATCAAGATAAAAAAATTAAATTTAAATAAATGCTAGGTAAATTATGTCAAAATCAATATATAGGTTGCTTACCGCTTAATAATAAATCGTGTATTTTTATAATCCTTATCGTAATTTTTGATTGCTAAAAAGTCACAACAAATATTTATAACATTTCCGGCAGTTTTCTATGAGTTTTTAGGTTTAAGAAGTGTGTAAAATGCTATAAAATGCACTATTTATCTCTTAGTCCCCCCGCTAATCGTCCATTACCGACAAAAACACTGCTTTTACATGGTCGTTCAACTTTTTGGTCAATCACAACCCAATACAACCCTTGTTTTCCCGAAAACAATTACCCTAAAAAATGCCCTCCGTCTAAAGGAGTCTAGTGGCAGGTGAAGTGTTGCTTATTGACAATAGTACAGTCGTTATTTAACGCGAAAAACCACTCTTCGACCAGCGTAGCTCGCGGCTGCTTTTTGAGGCCGATGATGGCGGGATTCGAGAATTTTTTGTTTTTACCGGAAGTCCCGGATAGGAAATGAACCGGCGGGGGTGGACAAGGCTAGCTGGAAATTAAAAATTAAAAAGCAAGATTGAAAAGCTACAAATTCTACCCAGCATTTCAAATTAAATATATTCATCTTCAATTCAAGACCCAAAGCGCAAAGAAAACTCCATTCAAACCTGCACCCGGATTACATTATTAAATCCGGGGATTTTCAGAAATGGCCCGGCTGAGGTACATTTTTAGCAAAATTCCCTCACCTCATTTCCGGTACACCCCGCACGTAGAGGGCGAGGAAAAATTGTTGGAAAAATGTTGTTTTACCCCCGCAATTGCAAATCCGGATATGGAGTGAGTTGTAAAACTGCGGCGGGTTTTGGGGGAAATTTTAATTTGAAACCAAGGAACCGTAGAATCGATTTTAAAGGGGTCTTGACAAGCAAAATTTTCTCTTTGCTTGTCGAACCCCTTAAAAGCCTACACCCGTGTGAAATCCAAAAACTATACCTTAAAGCCCGGAGTTTACTTCCTTCCCACCCCATGATTTGCATCCTTGTTGCCAGGACATCCCCCTCAAAACGTTACAATTTCTTCCGGGGAGTAACAGTAGTCTGTGTGGCAAAAGAAATTAGGTGAGTAGACAGTGAAAAAATTACCCTGGGTTCCCACGGGGCGGAGGCGCACCAGGAAGCGCCCGCTGATTTCCGCTTCGGGGAGTAGACTTTTTGTATTCCAGCGGACGAAAATTGAGAGTTTGAGAGTGGTTTTATGATCGGGGACACAGTTAATGGGGGCCGGGGAGTTTTTAGGTTTAATTTTCTTAATTCTCTCTCTTCTCTCTCTCTCTCTCTCTCTCTCTCTCTCTCTCTATCCTTCTCTCTCTCCTGCTCTTTCTCGCTATTCCCTCTTCTCTCTCTCGCTCTCTCTCTCTTTCTCTCTCTCTCTCTCTCTCTCTCTCTCTCTCTCTCTCTCTCTCTCTCTTTTCCTCTCTATATCTCGCTCTCTCCCCTTTATTTTGACTTTAAAACAAATACCTTTTTAATTTTGAAAACGGACTTATTAAGCCCCTAGAAATTCGCTTTTGGGCAGCAAACTTCACGCCGCAGCCGCAAGTGCCGCAAGGCCCATTTAAAAATAACGCTAAGTCAAGCTTTATTTCTAAATATCGGCCCTCCAGAGGCCAGTTTTTCACCCACAGACAGCCTCAAATCGCTTTAATTATCCATTCCATTGCTCCGAACATGTTTTGTTCCCAATGGCCCACCACTTTTTGCGACTCCTAATTTTTCATTACAGTCATTTCTTATTCCAAATCTCCAAAACAGTTAGTACTCAATCAGCCCCCTCCACGTGCCGATTTCTGATTGTGGTCCATACATGTTTTTGTTGTTGGAGGGTGGACTTGAAGAGGGGCGAGAGAAAGAGAGGGAGAAAGAGGGAGAGGGAGAGAGACAACACCCCAGGTGTTGTAAATCAAGGGATCATCGTGAAGCCTTTTGTTAAAATGGCGTCTTCTCAGAGGGCATCAAAAATGCACTCGGCGAGCTGAAATGAATGGAATATTGTGTTTAAAGGATTGTTAAGGACAGGAATAATTTAAAGGTATCCAAATTTATACACTGCTAAAGGGAAACCACATAGAATATATTTTTATTCTAATTTTTCACGCCAATCCCGTCAAACCAGATTACAGGAAATTCGCCGGGCTTTTTGACCACGAAAAAAAAATCGAAAAATAACTTCTGGCGCACCGGAAATTGCTATGATCTGGATCAATTATTTTTCCAACGGTTTTTGAGCTCGGAAAGGGTGCAATTTTTGGGAGGGTGGTAATTTCCGCGATTACTGTGTTCCGGGGAGGGTTTGAAAAGATGGGTTTGATCGTAGCTAGTGTAGGGGTTGTCGAAAAATGTGATTTCTTGAGTACGTATATTGTGCCAAAATTTGCTTAAAAATTCGTGCCGTGAAGCAGATTTTTAAGCGGTATTTAGAGGACGTTTATTAAGTAGCTGATCGTGAAATAGCAGGCATATTAAATATTAAATTACAATATTTAAATTTATTTTTTTAGCTGCCTCTCACGCTCCCTTAAAAACCCAGCGCTTGCCCGAAAAGTACATCGACGAATCTGTGTGGGTGGTCGACCTACCGGAGAACTGGGAGGCCGATCGGAACCCAGATGATCCGCTGGTAATCCGTGTGTTCCACCCGCAATTTGTCGTAGTCTAAAGGTGACAGACAGACATACATACAGACAGCCAGAGACACATAGACCGATACACACACGTTTTTCTGCGTGTTTCGCCTGCAAATGGCGGATGCGTTCGTTTCTAGTTAGATTGGGTTGTCGATTTTACAATATCGAAATAACGTCAAACATTACTATCGTTACTATTGTTAATTTCTTTACTTTTACTTTATAATTTTATTTTTCGCTTTACTTTTATAGCCTTAATTTCACCAAGGTTGAAGAATTAAGAAAAAGCTAGTTTTATTTATCTTGTTAAATTTAGTAAAATACAGTAACAAACAGAAATTACTAATGCCAAAACCTTTACAATTGTATGATAACTCTGCAATCGCTTTGAATTTAGTCTTTAAAGGGACACTGAAGGGATGCCTATTGAGTCATGTTGGCAGCAGAATAATATCTATGAATAATTTTTATATTAATAAATTGTATATTATTTGATGCCTATTATATATTTTATATAAATAAATTTAAATGTATAAAAATTTTTCCGAAACCGCGATAGGCAAAAGAAATTTTTGAGAATTTGATTAACTTTAGTCATTTTGGAATGATGAGAAGCAATTTTCTATATGTTTAAAGATATTCATGAGCTCCAGGTTTCCTTAAAACCAATATCTCTATACCCAAAAAACACTCTTAAGCTCCATTTCTTTCCACTTTACATCCCCTTACCCCCAGCCCACACACGTTGCCAATCAGCCATGGATTGTGCCCCGAGACGAACGCCCTTTTTTCGACCACCACTCCTTTTTGCCCGCTTTTTATGATCGGCCCGTTCCATAGAGGGTGTCCCTTTCTTTGGCCCCTCTATGGCCCTACAATTTGGGGGCCCTACATGGAAGGACGGGGTTTTTTGTGGCCCTTCACACAAATACACCAACCCCTTTTATGACCGCGTCTCCGGGATCAAACGGCTGAAAAACGCACGGTGGTGGGTCTCACGCCTCGACCCCCCGCCATGCTCAGAATTGGCCTCATTTTCGCCCTTCAGCGCCGTGTGTTTTTTTGGGTCTCGGCGGCGGCGAATTATTTTCAGGGATACGGTAGGTGGGGATGGGCAACAGGGGTGGTTTCAAAGTGTTGTGAAATGGGAAAAAATCATTTTGAGGTGCTCTCGGGGTTTTAGCGGACAAAATAGCTGGGTTTCATTAATGCAACGCTCGTAAAAGCATCCAACTGGCTTACACATTCTCTTAAGAATAAGTATTTATTTATTTTTGATAGGCTACCAGGAAGCGAAGCTAACAAGCTAGGCGAAGCTAAGCTTAAGCCAACGCATTGTGAGTCCGAGTCATTAGCCTAGCATAAGCTAACTAAACCTATGCCTTAGCCTGCCAAGCGTAGGCCGAAGCCGAAGCCGAAGCCGAATAAGCGTAGACCTAAGCCAAGCCTAAGCCAAGCCTAAGCCAAGCCTAAGCCAAGCCTAAGCCAAGCCTAAGCCAAGCCTAAGCCAAGCCTAAGCCAAGCCTAAGCCAAGCCTAAGCCAAGCCTAAGCCAAGCCTAAGCCAAGCCTAAGCCAAGCCTAAGCCAAGCCTAAGCCAAGCCTAAGCCAAGCCTAGCCAAGCCCAAGCCAAGCCTAGCCGCCTAAGCCAAGCCTAAGCCAAGCCCAAGCCAAGCCTAAGCCAGCCCAGCTTCCAAGCCAAGCCTAAGCCAGCCCTAAGCCAAGCCTAGCCAAGCCCTAAGCCAGGCCTAAGCCCGCCGCTCCAAGCCTGCAAGCCCAAGCCAAGCCTAAGCCAAGCCTAGCCGCCCAAGCCAAGCCTAAGCCAAGCC